CCGACTGTCTTCGTTTTCTTCTTTTTCTTTCTCTATGATAAGAAAATATAAAATATTTTAAGCAAAATAAATAAATAAACATTTGTACTTACTGTGTGAAAAAAAAACATTCGCTAGAAAGAAAACCGCAAAATTGAAGACATCTTTTATCAGTAGTTATTTAATTTTGTTTTTCATACCGTACGTAAAACTACTGCAGAGAGTAAAAAACTAAAAAATAAAAACTAAAAAATGTGAAGTAAATATTTAACCTTGGGGTAACTGTAGAAACAAAGAAAGAAATTTTCCAGCCTATGTTAGAAATAAATATTCAACCACCGAGAAACATCGATTTTAGTAAAATGAAGAAAAAGAAAAGAAAGAAATTCATGAACTAGTCCGAGAAAATAACCTGGCATATAAACAGATACAAAGTGCTGAGAACAGACAGAAGACAGTAAGAAAAAAGGAGAGCCTTGCACATAGAAGGATACAAATGTAACACAACTTAGCAATTGGCCTTTCAGAACATTGATGACATTTATTTCTACGACTTAACTTACAAAGCAAGACTTCTACTACATAAGAAGAACTCTAACCGAACGAAGTACTGCTGTAATATAAAAAAAAATTCCGTTTCCTTCAGCCAGCGAAAATTGCTCCTTGGTAAAATATACACTATCTTCCAGCCTACTAACTACATCTCAACCTGAGTAAGTAAATATTTTCAACATTGGCTCTTTTCATCTATTACCTTTTAAATACTAATCTCACATCACTTCAATTAACAACAAATTTTATATTTTTGAACATTATTTGCTGTTTGGAATTTTTATTGAAACATTAAACTTATAGTTAACAAAAGATAACTGTATTGTACTAAAATATAATCAATAATAAGATATTAACAAAGGCGGAGCTATATTCATTAGAATTTAGATTAAAAGTTGTCTATTATGGCCTATGAATAGCAATGAGTAAGGTCCAATTTCAGTAAGGTATATCAATTATTACTGCAAGGCTAGCTAGAGCTGAGAGCCAGAGCCGGAGTCGGAAATTTCACAGTGTCGGAGCTGGAGCCAGTAAATTTCAAAATGTTGGAGCCAGAGTTGGCGCTAAAGATTTAGATGTCAGCTCCACAACCCTGATTTTAAGCACCGTTGCCAGGTTCCCACAACCATATTTCCATAGGCAAGCCATGAAAATTTCCCCTTTCAACATAAAATTTCCCTTTCTTATTTGGGACTAAAATACAACTTTAATAATGACGATACCCGCATATTTTAACTGCTCCGACTATCTTTACTAATTTTGATTATGTATATTGATCTCTGATGCAGATAATTAGTATGATCTTCAATAACAACAATGAATATATAAGCCCAGGTCTTTATGTTTGCTAATATTTATTTATCTTTTCAGAATAAAATCATTACTCTATTAATGTTATCCCATTATGTCCAAAAAGTTAAAACGAACTTTGACACAAGAAAATAGGAGCTTCAATGCTGAATGGGAATTGCAATAGTTTTTAGTGTTTAGCTGTAGTAAAATGTCTTTCCTGCTTTATGATACTGCAATTTCATCAATTAAAGAATACAATCCATATTAACATTATGCTGTTCATAAAGACAATATATCGCTAAATTGGAGAGTGAAGTTCGAAGGATTGCACTGCAGAAATTAAAAGACTTACCTCCCCGGCAAAGCGAATTTGCTTGGCTAATCAGGTCCTGTTGAAAGATTGCGACCGGCATTAAAAGTAAAATGGGTTATTCCGAAATTCCTATATCGCGTGCAGACGTACAAAGAAAAAAAATGACTAAGACTTCAAACCTGCTTGAATTTATAAAATAGGAAGTCTTGGGCGAACGAGAATTAAGTCTCGTATGCAAATTTTAGTTGCCTCTGACGCAGGCATAAATAGCAAGTCTGTGAGGAAGACGGCAGAACTTTTTTTGGCGTGTGGATCCTTACCTGCCCCCAGAGCTCCGTCCCTGGGCTGGTGGGATGACGTCTTTGACCAGCTTGGACCAGCTATGACAAGCCAAGACCAGCTATGACTAGCTTAGACCATCTCTGACCAGCTTGGACAAGCTAAGACCAGCGGCCCGAGTGAAAACACTCGGGTCCCCACGTTAAAAACTGACCTTGTGTCACAACCTGACTCATTGGGGGGTCAAGTAAATATCCTTTTGTTGGCGTTTGTTCATCTCCCCTCTTTCTCATATTTAATCACCCATAAATTTTTAGTTATAAATTTTATAAGCATTAGATTTTTATAGCATGGGGTGCGTTTTGTAGGTCCTCCTTGAGAGGATGCGGTATTATGGTGTATGGAGGATTGATTAGTGACGGGCAAGTTTTTATGGTGAATGCGAAAATTGTAATGACTGAATGTGTCGTGAATCGGATTAGTATAAGATAGTGATGACCAGCCCCAACCCCTCCCCTTTTTTTGGCCTTGTGCCATAATTATGTATTTTGTACGTAATAAATATCACTTTTGTTGGCGTGACGGCGTACGTACGTACGTACGAGAACTAGAGAATATGGAAGAGGTCACTTGCGACAGCTCAGGTGGTAGAGCGGAGGACTGGAGAAGAAAGCAAGCACTTTAATCTATTTCAGCCATCGCAAACGACGGGCGAACTGAATTACCTACAAGCAGAGACAATTCTGTATTAAATTCAGGAAATGTTGCAACAGAAGCAAGCTATAAAGGTGCATATTTGCTTGGAACAAAAGGTAAACCATTAAGCGATCCAACGCTTATAAAGGAATGAATTGTAGATGTCGTAAAATATTTAGATTTAAATAAAGTTAATAAATATAAAAATGTGCCTCTTTCAAGAAGGACTAATACAAATCGACAGCATGAATTGGTCAGTCATGTAACAGAGCAGCTTCAAAATCTAATAATAAAAAAACGAAAATGTATATTTCTCCTTAGTTTTGTGCGTCCTGGGTATGACGATAAACTACATCCACGTCCTGGGTAAGACAATAAACTATGTTCAACAGCAAGGCCTCTGATCAGGAGGTTTTGTGGAGCATGGAACCACTTCTTAATTGCTGGTGTTCCCAGGTCCACCCTGACCCGGGGTGGTAGCACCTGTTAGGGCCCCAGCTATGGGCAAATAGTTAACCCTGAAACTGAGGTAAAAAGCAGTATAAAAGTGTAAAAAATAGGTTTTAATACTAGAAATACTTTGTAAAAAATTATTACCAGAAATAAATTTTTGAAGGAAGAAAAACTATTACCAGCAATATATTTTTGAAAAATTATTACCAGCAATACGTTTTTGAAAATTATATTACCAGTTATACATTTTTGAGGCAAAAAATATTACCAGAAATAGATTTTTGATAAAAAATATAATCAGGAAAAAAATAACCCATTGAGATTGATGTACCGTAAACCAAACCAAACAAAACTTAGCTTTGGATGAATCGACAGATTCCACTGATTCGGTGCAAATATTGTATTTCATTCGTTCAATAACTGACGATTTTCAATTATTTGAAGAATTTTTCCCTTAGGCATCCTTAAAGGAAAGACACGAGGCATACATATACTTCTATATAAAACAGAGGATGTCTGTTTGTGTGATACCTTTTCAGTCGAGATCCATCCAACCGATTTTGGCCAAACCTGGCATATACATTGTACAATGTTTATTTTAAAAATCAATAACCGATAAACTTTTTTTCCTCCGATTTCGTTCAAATTCGGTATGTAGGTTACTTACATCATGACGAGCCCGACGAAACCTCATTTTTATTTCTACGCCACTGCGTTTAGCGAAAAACGAAAAATCGATTTCAACACAAATTTAAAACTAAAAACTCCCTCAATTTCCAAGCAATCAAAATACAAACTTCACTCATTTGTAGCCAACAATCACTTGATTGTTTAACAGTCATTTAACTTGATAATTGAGTTCACCCATATTGTCGTAAATAGCGAAAAATGGTGATTTTTACTGGTTTCTTTCATATTTTTCGTTGATTTTCCAACCAATTTTCATCAAACTTAATTGCTTTATAAATGTAACCTCTTTTACATCCCTGACAAATTGAATTTCAAAAACTCCAAAATAGTTATTTACCCCTTCATGTCCTCGGCTAATTTTAATTGAATAAATACAGTCTACTCCTGTTATATCAGTAACTGCATTAATTGAAGATGTTTTTTAATGAAAGTACTTTAAAGTAATTGAAGAAGATGGATATATATATCTATAATTGTACCCTATTATAATGCCCTATAATAAGTGCCGTTATAAAACCCCATGATTAAACCCTTTTTAATTAGCCCTATCATGAAGCCACATTATAAAGCCCTATTATTAAGAAATATTATAATGCCGTATATTTAAGCCCTGTTATAATTCCCTATAGTTTTATCCGTATAATTAAAACCCCATTAAATTTCCCTATATTTGAGACCTACTATTAAACCCATTTATAATGCCCTATAATTAAGCCCTATAATGTCCTATTGTAAAGTCATATAATAACCTCCCATTATAAAACCCTATTAAAATATTTTATTATTAAGCCTTATAATTAAGACATTATAATGTCCTATCATTAAACCTCATTAACAAACTCTAGTATCAGGCCATATAATTAAACCCTATTATAATTCCCTATAATTAAGCCCTATAATTAAGCCCCATTATGAAACCCTCGAATTGTTATATTATCAAGCCCTTCAATAAGGCCTCATTATAAAGCTCTATTATCTAAGCTATAAAGCCCTATTATCGATCCTTATTATCAGTTATTGTAATCATTTTAAGCCTTATTATTAAGCCCTATAATTAACCCTTTTATTAAGCCCAATTATAAAGCCCTATTATCAAGCCATAATGTTTTAGAGGTGAACAGCATTTTTCCTTTGATTCATTGTGTATGTGAACATTCCCATGAGAAAACTAACACCAAATTTATTCTTAACTGCCACATATGATTAATAGGATAATACATTCGATATTACAATTGGTTCCCTTAAGAGGGAAATTACTTATGACTCAACTTTATCTATCTATCTATCTATCTATCTATCTATCTATCTATCTATCTATCTATCCTTGCTTTGAATCTTGCTGTCACAAATGGTCTGGTGCTCTTGCTATATATTTAGAGATTCTTGATAAAATCTCAAGAAGAATTCGCAATATTATTGATGGCGTCTCGGCTTCAGACACTCTCCATCTGCCGTGATGTAGCTTCCCTGTGCCTTTTCTTTAAATACTTTCATGGTAATTGTTCTGGTAAACAGTCCGCTGTGGTACCTCGACTTTATGAATTTAAGCGGAGTAACAGATCGGCAATAAGGTCTCGTCAATCAATTTACAGTTGAAATGGTAAGATGCAACCCAACTGTTTCTTCTATCGCATCTCTCGTTTGCGGAACTTTCTACCGTCTTTATGCTTTCCAGCCAACTTTCATTTTCAAAACTTTTAATGAAATGTCAGTCGTTATCTACTGTGCGATGGGTAAATTGTCGCCATTTCATATATTTAAAAAAAATTTTGGTGTTGCTGCTGATGTCCTGTTTAAACTTGCCTGTCGTGGGGATCCATCGCTAAAGCCAGCCTGGTCAGATCTGCCTTCGTGGAGGAAATCGGTGTTGGCTTTATAGTGAGTCAGTGATTCAGAAACGGCTGGTGCGAAAACCACGTGGACCTTTTCTGACTGGTCAGAAAAGATGGCTTATGACAGTGGGTGCGCGCAGCCGGACGAAATTAAGATTTGTTTTTGTCATATGAGCTGTGGATGTCGATGTGAACACTTCTTTTTGAGTTGGAATTCTGATAGGTTATGTAGTAGGGTTAGGTATTAGTAACACCATATGGAAATACATACTTTCCTTTTTACTAAGAGAGTGACAAAGAAAACTCGCTCTCTTCTCTATTACACATACTTAATTTCCTTCCTTCCATTGTTCCTATCCTCGGTAACTGACAGAACCTGGACATAGCTTATGTGGGTCAGTGAACGTCATAAAAAAAAACAACCTATGACAACACGTCCCGTCAAAAATCAAACGGAAAACACGGATGTGTGAGGCCCAATAAAAAAGAGAAAAAAAACCACATGCGCGGCAAAGAAGGAGAAGAAGAGAAGCAGAAGGAAATTGGTTCGATGTAGCAGTTCGAAATGCAAGGGCTGGAGATTTATCGGATATTGAGTTTGATCGGACGTACAACTCCAGAAGAAAAAGATGAAAGTTTAGATTCAACAAATTAATTTCTGTCAGCCAAAAACTGTATGAACTGTCAAATCCCAAAAAGGACAAAGACGATAGTCAACCACTGTAACCAAATGAAGTCAACAATAAATATAGACAGTAAATTTGGCCTTTACTTATGAATTAGCCCAACTTGCATCTCTATATACCATTGTTAAAATATATGGATTTCTGACAAAAATCAAAACAAAAAAACAAACAAAACTCTGACGAAATTCAGGACATCATTGAACAATTTAACTTAAACAGAATCTACTGGTGGGAAAAGTACTTCTTCATGTTTGATGGGATTTTCAGAAAGTTCTTTTTTTTATTATTATTATGAAATGATGGAACCAGTACAAAACTGCCGTGCTGCAGTGAGAAATTGGTTCGTTTGAAAGATTTACTTGAGAAGTAAAGAAAATCTTCCTGAGCTAGAATGAAAACCTGTTTTTATTGCATGACGAAAGAAATGACAAACATGGCGCTGGAATTGTCAGCTTCGGTCCCTCATTTGCTTCACTCCAGACAACTGTATTTGTTCGATCATCAGTTTTAATATACTGAAGATATCAAAAGTTTCATCGAAGAATTTACTGAATCAAAACCGGGATCATTGTTTTAAAATTAAAGCGTCTTAAAGCTTTAGAATTTAGTTGGTTGGCTTGGTTGATTTTTAGCAGCATGTCACCACCTCTATGAGTTATTTAATGCCGAAATCTAAATATTTTGTATGCAATTTTATGGCTTCAGCTACAGATATTATTTACATAATTTATACTTTCAGAGTAAAAGTATGTTTTTTTAGATATATAGTTTGTATATGATAAAAATGTATTGTTGGCATTTCTTATAAAAACGTATCCCTAGTATTTTTATACATTTTAGTGTTGCTTTGATAGTCGTTTTAATATAAAATGCATTGTTGGTCATTTTACTATGAAAATGCATAGCTTGTAATTTCACTACGGAAATTGTTGGCTATTGTTTTTCTAAGAATGTATTGCAACAATTGAGGTGGTTCCTCGTTCCTCAAAATTTCCAAACTTCTGATTAGAGGTCTTGTAGTTTATCGTCATAGTGATTACTACTATGCTGCCACGCCTACATTTTCTTAACTGTGATTTGTCAAATAATAAATACTAAATACCACAGGACAATTTACTGATCGCATTCACCACACTGAATTTTTCCTACTGTTAACTCACAAACATCCTTTTGTTATAAAATCACCGATTGGTTCATTTTTCAACCAATCAGATATTTTTCGTGTTCTTTCAAAATTTATCCCGCGTTCGTGCTGGGAGCCACCGATAGTAATATAAGTTCAGATTCATTCCCAAATTAACCAGTAGAACTCGACTACTCACACGTGTTATTCATTCTACTCACTCCGCACGCACACACACAGACACAGGACTTGAATTTCATACACCATCAGTTCTCTGCGAACAAACCAAGTTGCAACAACTCTGTTAGTTAACAACACACAACTGTACGATCTTCTGAATATACATTCTATTTTAACACAGAACTCTGAACATTATATTCAGAAAACTTGCTTAATTACATTTCCTAATTCAACTAACAGATAAAGGGAAACTACTTTTTTCTCCTTATTCACACATCACACAAATTGCCTTGTATTTGTTGTTGATTTTAAATTTTTTGAAACACATATCGGTTTTCCATTGTTTTTCCTTGATTTAAAAAAATGTATAAATGTTAAATGCTCTTCAACACGCAGCCACATTAATCTTTTCAACAAAACACCATTTACATTGGTAACCCCAACACTTAAGAAAGCAGCATTTACATCATCATATCCAGGTCTATTAAGGTTTTAGAAAGCCAGGAAAAAAACTTTGCCGACTGAATAATGATGCTACGATTTTATTCTCAACGCAGCATCAATGTAACTTTTAAATCTGGGGAAAAATGAGAGAGGAGAAAAAGAAAGAGAGAAAAGGTGGAGTTTATGTGCAAATAAATTCGTATGAGCATGCGCGTAAACGCTAAGAACTTGGAAAGGAACAGAAATTAGTACTCGTTTGACACGCATGCGCAAAAGAACTGGGGATGATAAATAGCGCGAAAAAGAAGAAATTAACCAGAGACAGCTCCTTACAGAAGAAATTGCTTGTTAGAAAAATTCCTGCGCTACTGCATCTTAGATAGAGACAGAAAATGGCCAGGAGAAGTCTCAGCCTTGTCAAACGCTATTCTTTTGCTGGTTACCAAATTTTGATGATGCAAGCGATGTTACAAGTTGCCAGTAAGTCACCATTTCTTTTTCTTTTAATGAAATCTTTTCTCCTTTTAGAAGAAATTATAACAATAACTGTTACCAACATTTATTATTAAAAAAAAAGCAAAAAACGACGCCATGTTTTCTATTGTGCAAGCAGACGCTATTTTTTAAGAGTCGTAGAGGCATTGAGAACTTTGTTAGAGCTCTCTCTCTCTCTGTCTCCCTCTGTCCCTGTCTTTCACTCTGTCTCCCTCTGTCTCTGTCTCTCACTCTGTCTCTTTCTATCAATATATATTGTTTAAATTTTGCTATATACGGACGCACACAAACACACGTGCACACATACATATTTAAATTGTGCTATATTTATACACGGACATATATACACACACATATATATATTATTCAAATTGGCTATATTTATAAGAGAAAATTGCTCAATATAGGAAATAGAGCATTTATAGGTACAGATAGGTACAGATAGTGTGAACGATAGGAATCAACAATGCATGGTGACTGTCAGTTTCACGTTTTAGAATTTCTCTCTTCTCTCTCTCTCTCTCTCACACACACACACACACACACACACACACACACACACACACACACATATATATATATATATATATATATATATATATATATATAAACAAATCTGTTAAGAGGACATATATCAAAAAATGCTTGATGTAGCTGCTTTGAAAAAGGACATGCAGGGCAAGTAAAGGTAGTGTGCGGCTACATAAGGTGTTTTTTTTGTTCATATATATATATATATATATATATATATATATATATATATATATATATATAGTTGTATATTTAGGCAGCAATCCTTCGTTTATGCATGTTTCATTAAAAACGACAGACAATGTACTACGGTTAAGCTTTTTATTTAATATTTTTTGTGTTCGAACAGGAGCTTTCTTTTCTGGACAAGTTTCTATTATTTTTAAACTTTTTTTTACAAATGGATGAAGTTATTATTAATAATAATAATAAAGAAAAAGCCAACTCTTAACAATATCAACTACGAACAAGGCCACAATGTGCTGACAGTATTCGGAAATTAAGAACAGCTCTAAAACTCACTAAGACATATGCATAATGCACACACTCAATTAAGCTTATAAATCGAATTATCCTTGATAATGGCTAAATGTATAGCCGAAAGCGCTTGGAACTATAAAACATTTGGACAGTTTTTACACATTCTTTGTTCAAAAAAGAAATCTCTTGGGCACCGTTCTGTGATCCGTCTGTTTGAGTGAAATGGAAACGGTTGTCAACTTAAAATCTTTTCATTTGTACTCCTATACTTCTTTAAAATAAGCACTACCAAATGCGGGCTGTTGATCGACTCCAAATATAAGTTATCAATGTCTATTCTGTTATAACTTTACTGAAGATCCACCCAGAACAATTTGTCTTGTAAAGTTCTTTCAGAGCTATGTATCTGCCATTTTTAATTTCTGATTGAACAACTCTAATTTTTTCTTCTTCTGTTTTTGTCCCTCTTTCTTTGTCTCTTCTCTCTAGAATTTATTTTCATTTTTTTTTCTTTTTTCTTTTCTTTTTTATTTCCCTTTTCAATCTGACGTTGTCCCTGGTA